GGCGGCCGCGGGCAGGCGGTGGGGGCAAGCGGGGGGCTGCGGGCCGCCCAGGCGGCCCTGGAGCAACTCCATCATGCGCTGCAGCTCCCGGCTGAGGTGGGAAACCTCCTGGTTGAGGTGGTTGATCTGGAAGGGGAGGGAGAGCGGTGAGCACCGGTGGATGCCCCTGCTCAAGCCCCCCCAGCCCCGGCCCCCGCCGCACCTCCTGGTTGAGCCTCCTGATATTCTGCTTTATCTCCTCTGCTTCCATCGCCAGGGCCGGCCCACCCACATCGGTCCCTGCCGGGGAAGACACAGCCGGTGGCGGAGGCCTCCCCGAGCCCCCCGGGCCCGCAGCCAGCGCCCCTGGCCGTGCCCAGCGGCTGCTGGAGGTACCTGACGTGGGGGAGTCCCTGGCCGCGCTCTGCAGCGGGGGGTCCACGTTGAAGCAGAAGGTTTGTGGCTCTGAGGTCCCACCATTGTCTTCAATCCCATCCACCACTCTAGGGCAGGGAGGGGGTGAGGGCTGGCAAACATCACCCCCTCGCCCCTCCGCCACCATTCCCAGTGGCCTCCTGGGGCCCCACGCAGCCCGGCCGGCACAAACCCGCAGCAGCGGGATGAGCCACTGGCACGTCCCAGCCTTACCTGGGGCTGAGGTCCGGGGGGCCATAGGCATTCAGGGAGGGGATGAGGAGCTTGGCTGGCCTCCTGCCCACACCGCCCTCCTGCTCTGGGAGCCGGGGGTCCCTCCGGCACTGCGGAGAGGGGCTGCGGCCCCGGCTGCAGCGGGCAGGGGAGCGGCAGTTGCGCCTCAGGGCTGAGATCTGGCACAGCTCATCGCCCAGGAGGCTGCTCAGGGAGCCATGGCGCGCCGGGCTGCTCAGCTGGGGCAGCAGCAGCTTGCGGCGGGTGATGGTGGCGGGCGAGTTTTGGAAGACCTCGTCGGACTCCTCCTCATCCTCCACGATGGAGGGAAGGGGCTTCTCTGGGGCGGCACCGCTTTCCGGACGAGGCTGTGGGTGGGCACGGGGAGAAGGTCAGGGCTGGTCCCCGCACAGGTGCCAAGGCCAGACACGGCCACCCCTAGCCCATCTTCCCCCCGGCTCGCCCCTGGCGTGGCACAAACCTGCGGTGCCTGCGACAGCCGTGGGGACCGGGAGTAGCGGCAGAGCCCCTGGGGGGAGAGCAGACGACACCGGCTCAGTGGCACGCGGGACACCTGCACGGCTCCACAGGGACCAGCCACAGGCAGACACGGTGCTGGGCATGTGCCCACCCACTCCCCACGTCGGCATGCAGCCCTCCCAGACTCTCGTCCCCCCTGGATAACCAACCCTCCCCCAGCCCCGTGCATCAGCCCCGTCCCCGTCAGCCCCAGCACTGGCCTCTGCAGCCCCTCGCCTGCTCTCCTTCCTCTGCTGCTGCCATGACACTGATGAGCTGCCCAATCTTGGCCTGCATGTCCCGAGCCAGAGCCAAGGCTGCACCCCAAATCCCAGCCCCGGCTCAGCCATCAGAGCATCAGCTCCCCCAGGAGCATGCCGCTGGCCAGGGGAGGGTGCACAGGGATTCTGCAGGACCCAGCAAGCTCTGTTTGCATCCTCCACCCTTGGTTTATTTATACCTCTCCTGGGTGATGGCCACGTCGGGTTGTGGTAGGGCAATCAGGGATCTAGAGAGCGACCTCCTACCCCAGCTCTACAGGGCCTGGGGGCAGTGAGTGCTGGGGGGAGATGCTCTGGAGGAGCCCCCAGCCGCTCAGTGCCAGCACAGAGCCAGCAGCAGAGACGGGGGAGGAAAAGCGCTGCAGAGCTATTTCTACAGCAGAACAGCCCCCCAGCTGCCGGAGTCGGCAGCATGACTAAACCCGGCAGCCCCCGGTGCTGCCTCCTGCGCACTGGGGGGGGGCCGTGCCCCAGCTGCCTGTCCTGCATTGCCCCCCCAGTCCCCTCCACCCCCCATTTCCAAGCCTTCCACCCGCCTCAGCCTCCTGCATTGCCAATGCTCTTGCTTCCAGTCCCCTGGGTTGCGCAGAGCCGCGAGGAGCTGGGACGGGACATACCTGCACGGTTGGGGTGGCACAGCCGCAGCCCCTGCCCCGGCCTCGGAGCCTGGGGACCGCGAGCAGGGAGCGGACAAACTCCCCTTCTGCGGCCATGCGGAGCCCCAGCCCTGCTCTGGTCTCCAGGGCCACAAGGACGGGAAGGGGCCTGCGAGGGAGGACACGCACCCACCTCCATCTCGCTGCCCTCCCGCAGGTTGAAGGTCAGGTCCTGGTGGATGTCCACCGTGAACTTGCTGGCGTACTCGGGGTAGAGCTGCAGCACCTCGCAGAGCCCCCGCAGCCCGATGTACTGCAGGTCGCAGTAGGTCAGCGCCTTCACATCCGCGTTGGTCTTGACCACCTGGTCCGTGCTGCACAGGTCGGCTCCGATCAAATCCCCTTTGCCTGCAGGAGGGGACCGGCGTGGGCTAGCAGCACGAGCCCCGGGCCCCTCACCCGGCCGGGCAGCAGAAGGGGCTGGGGGAGAGCCCACACCGCCTGCCCTCACCCAGGATGGCCAGGACCACGTTGTCCTTCAGCACCTCGAGGGAGCCGGAGCAGACGAAGTAGTTGGCCTGCAGCGCATCGCCCTGGCGCAGCAGGTACTCCCCCGGGGCGCAGAACGAGGTCTTGATGTGGAGCGAGAGGGAGCGGAGGCAGCCCCGGCTGGCCGTCTCGAAGACGGGCAGCTGCAAGATGTCCTTGTTGAGGTGCATGGCCACGTCCGCCCGCAGCTCATCGGGGAAGTCATGCAGCAGCTGGGGAGAGCGCAACCAGGTTGCTGGGGTGCGGGTGGTGGGGAGCAGCTTTCCCCGCAGCCTGACAGCCCCAGGGGACGGATCCCCCTCCAGAGAGGAGCATCTCGCCACTCAGCTGCCCTGGCTGCCTCGGCAGAGCCCAGCAGTCCCAGCTGGCAAATGCAGGACAGCTCTGGCTGTGGCGACGGGCTGCCTCTGCTCCACGTGCCTGAACCGTTCCCTGTGCTGGCAGGAATGTGCCCCAGACCTGGCACGTAGCTCTGTTCCCTCCAGCAACAGAGCATGGACATGTGCACATCTGCACAGGCGCACGCTTGCGCACACATACATACACACACACTTGCACTCTCATAGCTGGCCCTGCCAACCCCATCGCCCCCACGCTGGGTGCAGGACGGGGGGGTCGGAGGTGGGCTGCCCCAGCCCGGCCGACACCTCCTACCTCGTTAGCATCGATGCCGTTGTTCACCGACCAGGTGGTCTGGAAGTACTCCAGCAGCCTCTGCTTGAGCTGCTGGGGCAGGCGGTGGACACGGATGAAGTCCTTGAGGTCCTTCATGCGAGTGTGGTAGAGTGAGCGGCGGGAGTACATGCGCTGGATGATGGCCGTGACGTTGCCGAAGACGACGGCGTGCATCAGTGCTGGGGGCCGGGAGGGCAGCGTCAGACCCGCCGAGAGGCCGGCCGGGTGGGGGCTGCGGCGTACGGGGGCCCAGGCAGGGTCTGGGCTCTGCCCCCGCCAACAACGCAGGGGCGAGGGGTGCAGCACGGGGGGCTTCTCCCCTGACACCAGCCCCAGGGCTGTCCCACAGGGCACATGTGTTCATCGCCTCCCCCCAGTGCCCTGCCCTGCCCGGCTACCTGATGCACCCACTGCTCCGGCAGCCGGAGATGAAGCCCCCCGAGCCCTGCCCCACTCCCCGCCTCACCCCCAATGAGCATGGTGCAGATGGAGAAGATCTTCTCGGCGTCGGTGTTGGCGCAGACGTTGCCGAAGCCCACGCTGGTCAGGCTGCTGAGGGTGAAGTAGAGGGAGGCGATGTAGGCGCTGCGGATGGAGGGGCCCCCCACTGAGTTGTTGATGTAGGGAGCCTCCAGCCTCTTGCCCAGCTCGTGCAGCCAGCCTGCCAAGCACAGCCAGGGGTTAGCACTTGCCGAGGGGCCTGGTGCCCAGCGCAGCTCCCGTCGCTGCCCCAGCCTCGCTTCGCAGGCAGGAGCCAGCCAGAAGGGCTGTAGCCCCCTCCACTGCCCACCCCATGGGACTCCCCTCTGCCCGCTCCCTCCTGCCAGCAGCACGCAGCGGCACGGCGGGGGGAGCCAGGCGTCCCGAGCGTGCCCCCGCCCCGCGCAGCCCCTGCATGCAGGCAGCCCCGCTCACCGATGTCCCAGGTCTGGGGGTCGTTGCTCTCCATCTCCTTGCGGCCGATGACGTACCAGATGCATGCCATCCAGTGGGCCAGCAGCGCGAACATGGACATGAGCAGGGTGAGCACCATGGCGCTGTACTGCGAGTAGCGGTCCAGCTTCTGCAGCAGCCGCAGCAGCCGCAGCAGCCGCACTGTCTTCAGCAGGTGAACCAGCGAGGTCTGGGGAGCGGGGCAGGCGAGTGAACCCAGCGGAGCTGCAGGCAGGGGCGGGAAGGGACACCCCCCCACACTTTCCCCCAGGGCAGGGACCTTTACCCCTCCCCACAGCTGCCAGCAGGATCGTGGGCTATGGGGCCAGCTGGGAAGAGCTCATCCCCAAGCAGCCTTCCACCACCGTGCCCAGCAGGCAGCCCAGGCCACAGTTCGTCAGGGCACCAGATCACCTTGGGAGATTTGGGGTGCTGGAGAGGGGGAGGGAGGTGACTGGTGGGAGGGGGAGCAGGAAGCAGTGGCTTTGCTAGCAGAGGCTGCGATTAGTGATGCTGTGCTGGCAGAAAGCTGATCTAATCTATTTGCGAGGGGAAGTCTCAGCAAGATGCTGCACCTTGCCTGCAGAGATCTTGGACAGAGAGAGACAGAGATGCCCTGGCTTAGGCAGGTGGGCTTGGACATGCAGCAATGCTGAGTGCCCCAGGGCCTCCCACCTCGCACAAAGCTCCTGTCTCATCCTTCTGCCTCCTGCCAGCGCTGCACCCGGCACCTCGCAGGAGCCCAGCGCCGTTGGACAGGCAGGGGCAGTGGGCAGAGGCTGTGCCAGAGCAGATGCTGGGGTCAGACCCCACCAAGGTGGGCTGGTACAGAGTTGCCCCCTGGGTGGCTCGGCTCTGCTCACCTCCCCGCTGCCCAGAGGGTCCCTGCCAGGGCTGCCCGTCCTGCCAGCCACAGCTCTACGCCCCCAGCTTGCCTGGCCCTGGCAGAGGCAGCGGCAGCAATGGCCCTTGCGGCCGCGGCCCCAGGAACGTGCCCCTGCCTCGGACACGGTTGTTTTCCTGCTGGGCAGCATCACCGGGGCGTGAGCGGGCCAGGTTTGGCTAAGGGGGGCAGCCCCAGGTGCCCTTGTCCTCCCCACATGCTGCTCTGCCTCCAATAAGCATAATTACAGTCTCTGCGCTCGCCTCCCTTCTCCCCTCCCTGCCCTATTAGCTGAGGATGGGAAGGGGCTGGTGCCAGCAGTGCACTTGCGCAGCCCATCGCACCCGCTGGTCTGCGGGGCCCTCAGGAGCCCAGGGATGCTCAGACTGGGACCTGCCTTCGTCACCGGCGTGTGCCCTCTTGTGCCTGCACACATGGTCACCCCCGTGCAAGAGCGGGCAACGTGCAAGCGCCCCTCGCTGCGACGGGGTGCGTGTGCGTGCACAAGGTATTTGCACGCAGATGTGGAGCTGCTCTGTACAGAGCACAGGCGTGCTGGGTGCAGGGCGGGTGCCTGCCTGCAGCTCCTGGAGCGGTGCCTTGGCAGTTACTGTCGTTTGTGGCAGCCTCTGGTTAAATTAAGATGCGTGGGAGGCTTCCCGCTATAGCTGCCATCGCTGCTTCCCCTCTCTGCCCGCGCCGCTCCCAGACAGGCGCGCGAGGAGCGGATCCCTGCGAAAGGGGCCACCTCCCCCCCGCTGCCCCCGCGCGCGGTGCAAGCGGCACTCACCACGGTCACGTTGAAGACGTAGAGCAGATCGAAGGGCAGAGCGGCGATCAGATCCACGAAGAACCAGGTGGCCACGTAATGGATGCAGATGGAGCGGGGGTCGTACACCACCTGGCCCGACTGGCTCACGTATGTCGTCCGGAAATTCAGGATGATGTCTGCCCCGGGGAGAGCAGGACCAGCCCTCACCGCCCCTGCCACAGCCAGGGGAGCTGGGCCGGGGTCCGCGGTCAAGCTGGGTCCCACTCCCGGGGTGCTCAGCACCAGCAGCAGGGGCAAAGCGATGCCAGCTCCCCTCTCCATCACCCCTCAGGTCTGCTTTTCTGGCCGCATCCCTGCCCCACCCAGCCACGTCCCCCGTCCCAAATGGGCGCTCGGCCCCAGGCACCGACCTACCCAGGATGAAGAGCATCTCCACGGCAATGTCACTGACGATGGTGCTGCGGGCGGCCGAGAGGCTGTCCTCCGTGCCCGTGAAGCAGACGTTGTAGGGGACAGTGACAGCCACATAGAAGGTGGCCAGCAGGATCAGCCAGTCCCAGAGGGCCTTGAAGATGCTGTAGTGGAGCAGGATGAAGCGGGACTTCTGCACCGAGGCCACTTTGTACTCGGGAATGGACGGCTTGTTCTCAAACACGTTCTAGGGGAGCAAGCGGCAGGGTGGCACACAGATGGTGCAGGGGCCATCCCGTGCAAGGGGTGGAGGCCATCGCAGCTCCCACCCCCTGAGTCCTGCCAGCCTGGCTGACAGCCCCAATGCCAGGGTGAAGGACACACTTTTCCAATGGGGCACATGGGTTGCGCTGAGGTCACCCTCAGAGATGGGCACAGAATGCCTGATTACGGCACATAAATTAACGCTATGCTAATGCTATTAACAGTAATCCACTGGCACTGCCAGCTGCTGCCCAGAACCATCTCAGGTGCCAATTCGCGTGCTGGGGCAGAGCTACCCTCATGCTCTGCAGGGACACGGTGCTGCTGGAGAGCAGCGAGAGACCAGCCTGGGCGACGGGAGAGCTGGGTCCATCCCACCCAAGCCCCCAAAATTCAAGACTGGCACACCAAAACCCTTTGCCTGCTTGCCAGCTCTGGGCCCCTGGCCGCTCTCGGCCGGTGGCTGACCACCGCCCTGGCTCCACGTCTGCAGGCAGTGCCCGTTGCTGAGCCCATGCCCAGGGACCCTGCACTGGGGCACCGCAGCCATGCGAATGGGCTGGCACAGAGACAACACTGGTCCCTGCTGCTGCTGGAAGCCCCGCTGCTCTCGCACCCATGGCTGCCGCAGCCTGGTAACAGCGCTCCCCAGGGCCGGCACGGCTGTGCTGCGAGCGAGCGGCTGGGTTTTCCTGACAGCTAATGTGTGAGGAGAGACACAGCCCTGTGAGAGCTGCCAGAAGATCTGTTCTCCCTACAGCAAGCTCTGGGCACCCGCTCTTCTCTCTCCTGCTGCCAACAAACCACATTTGCAGCCTAGACCATGGTGCGGCTGCTGGGGATGGAGGGCATTTCAGTGCCTGGGGAGGCCAGTGAGGTGCGTGCATGGGAACAGCATCCTGGCAAGACCGGGCTTTGCTGTGGGGCTGATCCCAGGAAAGCTGCAGCACTTCCAGCCTGCCTGCAGCCCCAGCCCGGGAGGCACCAGGTGAAGCTGAAGGCTCCCCCGGGTCCTTACGCGGTTGATTTTCATCTCGCCACGGTCCCTCCGGGCAAACTGGTTGCTAAGCCGGTGCAGCACTGTCCGGCCCTGCCTCCGCGCTGCCCGCAGGTGTGAGCTCCCGGGCTTCTTGCTCCTCTGCTTCTCTGCAGCGGATGAGACATGCTGGGTTAGTGGGACCGCTGTACCACAGAGCAGGGGCTGCTTTGGGGACCCCTCCTTGCACGGGTGCACAAAGGTGGGCAGGACCCAGCATGGAATGGGGAGCCCCTTTGCCATGTGCCCACTGTGCACACCGCTCCCCAAATCCCATCCCCATCCCACAGCCATGGCTCACCCTCCTTCTTGTCACTCGGATGGCTCCTGCCCCGGCTCTCTGTGATGTCCTTGAAGGAGAAGAGGAAGAGCACCACCTCCCCCTTCTCGTTCTTGATGGGCATAATGTCCAGCAGACACCAGAAGGCAGCTCCTGCGTGAAAAAGAGGGGTGGTGAAGGCGGGACAGTCCCCCCAGCTGCTCGGCGGCTTCACCCCAGGGCCGGCACGGGGCCAAGTCCCAGCTGGAGCCGCGGACAGGGACCCAGCCCCATGCACCACTCACCACCCTTCTTGTAGAAGCAGACCTCGGTCTGGTACTCCTGCCTGCCGTCCAGCACCTTCTCGATGCGCTGCAGGACGGGCTCGCTGGTCTCGGCCCCATAGAGGAAGCGGCAGCTGCAGTTCTTCTGCATGACCTCGGTGCGGGCGAAGCCGGTGAGGTCGCAGAAGCCGTCAGAGCAGTAGACGATGGGGAAGCCGCGGCGGACCTGCGCGTTGGCCAGGATGAAGTTGCTGTCTGAAAAGAGATGCAGCCACCCCTGAGGGCTCAGGGCCACCCTGGGGGGCACAAAGGGCAGGCCAGCCCTCCTGAATCCCCATGGCTCCCTCTGGGAAGTGGAGCCAGGTCTGTCCAGCTGCCAGCTGCCCCCAGAACTCGCTCATCCCCTGCCCTGCTGCCCCCAAGGCCCCGTCCCGAGCAGGACCCCAGGCCCATGCACTGGAAGGGCAAGGAGCCCAGATCCAGCTCCCGGCTCCCACCACCAGAGACGCGATCCCAAGCGAGGCAATTCATGCCTCCCCCTCGCCATCTGCCGCTCCCACCTCCCTCCGGGGCTCAGGCAGCTTAGCGGAAGCAGCGGCAAACCCAGCCAGGCACTGGCAGCCCAGAGGCGTCGAGCTGCGGTGCTGGGACCTCCAGCCCCAGGCGCAGCATCGTGGTGGCACCTGCCGAGAGGGTGGGAGAAAAGCCGTGAGCCTGGGGTGAGTCGAGAGCCCATGCTGAGCTGGGACAAGCCAGAGGTGAAGGGGAAATGCAGTGTCCTTGGTCTGTCACATTGCAGAGCTTCCCCAGCATCACCCCTGCCCTGGCAGAGGAAAGCCCTTGCCAGCCCCATGCCCTGCCCAGATGCAGAGGGGATACTTTCACCCTGCAACACCCCAGCCACCGGCCAGGCAGGGGCTCTGCCCCCGAGGCCACAGCAGCTCCTTGCCGCAGGCTCTGCGCCAGCGGGACAGATGGCCTCGTGCTAAAAGGGTGCCAAGGAAGCGGGGTGTGCGGCTGGCGTGGGCTGTGTTTGCACCCAGCAAGGGCAGAGCAGGGTGTCCCCAGCCCTGACACGCTCTACAGCCTGCGGGTCCCCAGCCCAGCACCCCCGCACCCCCACAGCCCAGGCACCAGGAGCAGGCAGATGTGGTCTGCCCCCTCCCACAGCAAAGGAGGGGAGCCCGCAGCAGATTACAGCACCCGTGCACCAAGAGCAGAGGCATGCCAGGGCAGCGCGGGCAGGGCAAGGGCAGAGGAGGTTGCAGGAAGGAAGGGATGGCAGCCACAGGCAGCCCTGGTGTGATGGGGGTGCAGTGGGGCCACCACAGCACAGCTCAGCCCAGGATTAGCTTGGAGAAGCAAAAATAGCTTGAAGCTGTGACTAAGGCCAGATTTTGGCTCTGGGGAGCCAGGATTACAGCGTTGTCCAGGATATGTTATTAGAAAAGAAAAAAAGGGCTTGCATTTGGGAGCAGCTTTGCTGAGCAGGGGGACACGGCCCTGGGGAGCTCAGTAGCCCCCTGCCACGGTGGCCAGCTTGCCTGGATGGGCACCCTTGGGCCCAGCGGGCAGCAGCTGCCTGGGAGAGGCAGGGTTAACTCGCACGGCTATCACTGCGGCTAAAGCCCCTCTCCATGGCAGATAAAGCTGATAAGAGACACATCAAACCTGAAAAGCCGGACACTGTTTAAAAGTGCCTGGAAGGCGGGTTGGTGAAGCTGTGAAGCTGAAGGCAGGATGCTGCCAGGGTGCTGTGGGGCAAATCCTGTCTCCCCGGGGCAAATTCCCAGGGTTTTGTGTCGGGGTGTTGCAGGCAGCTCCCCTGGGGACCCTTCTCCTCAGAGAGCCAGATCCAGCCCTGGGGAGCCTCTGCCCCTGCGGAGGGACAGTCATAGGATCACCAGCGCGAGGCACATGTGGCTCTGCCTTGGCACCTCTGGGCACAGCTCCATCTGAACTGGGAAAGGCTCAGGGGGCTGGCTGCCTCGTTACGCATTACAGTCTCAAAGGTACCATCCCAAATGAGAGCTCCTATAGGCAAATGACACCCTGTGTCATCTGGGATGCTCCGCATCACACCAGGCCAGGAGCCAGCCCAACATCGCAGCCAAGACATGCCCCAGGCATGCTCTTGGTGCCCTGATGGTGCCGTGGGAGGTGGCTGCAGGCTCCCAGTGCCGTCTTCCTGCCAGTCCCTCCCAGCAAGGTGAGATACATCCAGCCCCGCAGGCAGCTGGCCTGGGAGGCCCCTGCTCCAGGTGATTTTGGGGAGGCCTGGGGTCAGCCCTGAACACAGCCCATCCCTGGGTGACTGCACGGTCCCAGCGGTGCTGGGAACTGGCACGTGGCACCCCGGCATGATCCCCTTCCCAACGTGCCGGGGTTTGAATCCACCCTGGCCCCAGCACATGGACATGGAGGGGAGCCCAGCTCCCGGCGATGTGCCAGCAGCACCTCCAGCCCCGGGAATTGGCCCCAAAATGGACGGTGCTGGGACAGCACAGGCCCCGCTCCCGCCCCTGCCAAAACACCCCGCCACCGGTACCCGCCTTGCCCAGGCACGTAACCCCAAGCCAGCGGGCGCTTTGCTCACGGGGGGCTCGGGCAGGGCTGGCCATGCAGCACCGGCGTTTCCCGAGGGCCCCGCGACGTCCGTCCCGGGGGGGGCTCCTCGGGGCAGCACCCCGACCCCCGCGCAGCGCGGGGTCACGCACAACCCACGCGTGCCCCCCGGGCCCGGCCACCGCTCGGGCACGGGACGGGCCAACGCCGGGGGGGCTCCCGGGGCAGCCCGGGCGGGGTGAGACCGGCCGGGCCCCC